TGCAGCACATGGCAGGGCTGGGAGGGGGCCCAGGGCTCTGAGGCAGCCCCAGCCCTGGTGCTAGAAAGTAAGATGCTTCTTGGAGCTCTAGGGGAGGCACCTCTTGCAGACCTAGAAACTATCATGAGCCACTGGCTTTGAAATGAGGGCTGGAGGGAAGGCTTAAAGAATGGAGCAACCTAGAGGGTAAGCTGGGCTCCTGCTGTCCCTGCTGCCCAAATGCTCCTTGTTGGTCTCCCAGGGGTGTGAAGGAAATGATCCACCCTTCCCATAAGAACCTGAGAGCTCTGGGGAGAAAACCTAGGACTCCAGAAAAGTCCTTGAGTGAAATTATGGAGACAAAACAGAACTACTGTAATTTTAGTTGACATCAGTTCCATTCTCATAAAGGAGCTCCTCAGTTCACTGTGCAGGAAACTTCAGAGCCCAGTGAGCAGGTCAAACTATCCTGTTGAGAACTTACCCCACAGGACATCTTCCCTATGCAGCCATCAGTTGCTGCTTCTAGAAACCTTTGAATCTTTAACACAGCCTCCCATGCACAGAGCTAAAACTTGAAGGGACCCACTTTTAGTCAGTAACTGACATCAACTGCAGCCATAAATTAGGGATTGGTCCAGGTTTGACATCGAATAGCTGCCAGCAGAATCTGATTCAGTAGTCTTAATTTGATAACCCACCCAAGGGTGAATGGCTGGCAATTGCTAAGTCTGTAAATAAAATAAACTCTGTTTCTGTCTTTGTGGACACCATAAAGGGTAGAACTTATTAGTGTGGAAGCAGCTTTTAGAAGTGTGGGAGGCAGTGGTTAGTGACACACAGCATCAGTCTCAGGGAGGTGACAGGCACAAACACCTCAGCTCCTGCCACTGCTGGCTGGTGTGGCAGAGCCACCTGGGCTTCGGGTCCAGGCAGGAGCAGCCACCTACAGCCAGGTTGTTATTGCTGGGCTGCCACAGATGCAGGATTTGAAGATACTTTAAATAATTCCTCAGATTTGTGGGAAATGCTGGAAGGTCACTGCTTTCTGCTGCCACGGGAGCAGGGGAGCTGCCCCTTGCTGCAGGGTTACGTGGGCTGTCTGCTCTGCCTGTGCCAGAGGGGAGGGTGAACGGTGGAGACAGCCAGCCCAGCCAAGCAGGAGGGCTGGGGACTGTGCAGCACAGCCCAGCTGTCCTGCCTGTGCTGGGAGCACACCTTGCTAGGCTCCTTTTTGTAGCTGAAGCTCACAGTGATGCTGTTTCAGGGACCCTTTAGGCAGCTTTCTTTTGGCCTAACGTGCTATTTGAATCTACCTGATAAAGGTGGTGAAGAGGAGAAACCAAGACCATGGTGCTTTCAGTCTCAGACACACTCTCAATCCATACGGATTTTCCAAATAACTCCTCCATGTGCTCACCTGAGGCTGGGTGACAGAATGGCCAGCTGATGTTTGTTGAAACAGAGCACTCTCATGTCCATAAAAGTAAGGGTTAAGAGATATTAATGAGCAATTAATGGTATTGCAAGACACTAAAACTCCCCACAACCTTATGCCAGCCTCATCTATTATTGCCAGATGTATTCAAACAAGTAGAGAAGTATCCCCTGTGAGTTATGCCAGGCAGAAGTGCTTCCTCCCTCTTCCCTGCCAGCACAGCATCAGTCCTGTGCCCACTGGCAGACCTGGTGTTTCTCCTCCCACAGGCAGGACAGGTACCAGACACATGCACAGGGGACACTCCTGCTGCCCAGGCAGGGTTCTGAGGGGCTGGCTGTTCATTTCAGTATCACTGCATTTTGCTAGACTGGCTGTTCATGGGTATCAGCATTTCTTTCCACACCAGCTCTCATGGGGCACTTTTGCCTGGTGACAGACAGTCCTTAGTGGTGTGAGGGGTGAGTTCTGCACTGCCCGGTGTCAATCCACCCTCACCTGAAGTGCCAGCAATGTAGCACTAGTGCAACAGTTGATTCAGGTCCATGTGTGTTTAATTGTACTTGTTTCAGCTGTGGATGTACCCACTGGAACTGGTATCTCTTCCCCATATTAGGCTTGGATTCCATGGGAGCTTTGCCTGCCCTGGGAGTGGTGGGGGAATGTGCAGCCAAGTGAGAGGCTGGTACACAAGATGGTAGGGAGCTCTGAGATCTCTAGGAGAAGCTGGGCCCTTTGACTGTCTCTTCTCTCTGTGCTTTCATATGTAGATGAGAAAGCTGCCAATGTCCTAAAGCTGCTTTCTGTCTTCTCCTATAAGGGGGGCCTTGAACATCTGTCTAACATGCCAAGAGTCCAGTAGGGCTTAAATCATCCTGGTCAGTTAAAGATACACAACAGAACCAGAAAGGAAGGGAAGTATTAGAAGGAACCAAGCAGAAGACTCTGCAAATAAAGTATCAAAATGAGATGGTAGGTTGAACACTATGTTGTATATCCGTAACAAAACAGTTATTTTCAGTGCACCACTTTACTGATTTTGGTGGAAATGGGGCACCTTGAGGCTCATTCTGGTGCTTTGTTTTTGGTTTAAACATGGCATGTGATTCCATATTCTCTAAGGACGTAACATGTACACTCCACAGCAGATGAAAAT